CATTCTAGATTTGATCCCCAGCACCATAAAAAAGAAAGAAAAACCTGAGGCAAATGCTAAACTGCAATGAAAGCAAGACAACAGATTTAAATTGTGAATCTTCCTAGAAAACTGAGACACACAGTCACCCTGCTTTTAGGGAAACCAAGCTCTAGTTCTAGGTTCCCTGCCTGAACCCCCTTACCCACCCAAAAGCAGCATGCTTTATGCAGCCATGTTATTCTTTCACCCTGACAGGCACGTGGGGGACACCTGACTCAAGAGCACCTTAATATACAACATGGCCTGAGGCAAGAATGAATAGCAGCTAATTGATTTTTTCTTTCTTGGGAATTTTAATCAAGAAAAATAAAAGACAGTTATCAAAATGAAGTAGCAGTGAGATAGTCTTATTATAGAAATTGGATAAGGAAGCCATGGCAGACCATGTTCAAGCAGAAATTATGAGGGAAACAAAACAGAGTAAATGGAAATTAGAAGGTAATGAAAAAACACAAAACAGAGGACCAAGGAGATCTTTATCAGAGCAAAGACAGAAGCAAAATAAATTGAGGACTTAGGCCAGAACTCCCTTATTGCTTTCCTGAGAGCCTCACCCTCCTGTCCCTGATCTTCCAGAGGCCTGACTGCTCTTCTCTGTTTGAGTGAATCTACCACTTGTATTGATCTTCTCATCACAGAGGGAGTAAACGGGTGCTTTCCAAGATTCCATTACAAAGTAATTCACTGGCATTTGTTTTAACACCAGACTTTGTTCACTGTCTTCATTCTGATTTAGAATAAATTCTTGGTGTCACAGGGAAATTTTTGTTCATAAATATTGTCAAATCCTGCATCCTCCTTTTCTCTTCCACTCCCCTCCCCCAATATAATTTGACTTCTTTCAAAATATCTTATTCAGTGGCAATTCTTCCTGTTACATCTGTTATAGCTGCTGTGTCTTGAGCTCACTGAAGCATCTCCTGACCCTAGAGATGACTGCACCTATGGCAAGAATCCCAACAATACGATACTAGATCCCATAGCAAAAGGATAACAAAATTGGATTTTATAACTATCATTGATGCTCTCTCAACAACAACACCAATTCTGGGAAGTTTGGATAATACATTTCTGACTTTTATTAGGAAAGCAATCTATTACTAACATTTTGAGTTCTTTGGACCAGAACTCAAAATGTTAGTAATAGATTGCTTTCCTAATAAAAGGATTTTTCCTATATAATTATGGATTTTTCCTATTTAAATTATATTCCTGCACTGTCTTTACAAAACATTCTCAACCATTTCAGGTCTAAAGAGCCACCTGCTGTTTTAAAAGTAAACTGCAATGAATAATTGTTTCTAAAACTAAAAAAGGCCCAATTTACTAAATAGTGTGTTCTCTATCCCTCCCTCTCTCTCTCACTCCCTTCTCCCTCTCTCCTCTTTCTGTCATTGTTGATAGTGGTGATAGTGCAGGTGGTGACTGTGTCCTAAGAAATTTTGCTGTGCTAAACTTAAGACTATTTTTATTGTGTTTGTACACATGTAGAAAAAAATCCTTCTAGTTTCATTTATTAAATTTTGAATTTTTTATTCACCAAGAGTCATGCCCTGTTGGAAATGAGAGGGATTTTTTCTTTTGTTGCTTTTAACTGAAGAATATACTATAAGCTCTCTCTAGATGTGTTCTGAAACTGTAAACACATTTTCGAAATAAAGGTCAGCATTGTGGACCATGCCATGTTAACTGCTAAGTGTTGTGCTAGCCCTGTCGTCAATCTTTGAAAGGTGCCTGGCCAGGTGCATACAGCCTGGGGTACTTACCCCATGCTTTCAGAGCAAAATTGTAGAAAAAGACATCCAAGACATGAAGTTTCACAATAAGAGTCCTGCTGCTTAAATGCCCTTCAGTTTATTCTCCTTTCATCCAAAAACTTAAATGTGCAATGAATGAAGATTTTTTTCTAAGAAATTCCACAAGTCTTAAAGTGCATGCATATGCACTGAAAAAGTAGTTCCCTCTGTTTCTAGTGTCTTATGCCCACATGTAAGAGAAAATACATGTGAATCTTTTAAAAATCACCCTATGTTTATGGATTGAAAAAGCTAAGGAAAAAAGGAATAACTCGGGCTCTATGTTAACTAAGCAAAATGGTCTCTGGAAGAACAATATGTAAAACAACTGATTTTTAAAAGACAATGATGCCACAGGATGGTTCCAGTTAAGATGAAGATAGCAGGCTATCTCATTCACTGACAGAAACTAAAATCCCTGCATAGACTGCCTGGGTGGGGTACTATTGAGGACTCTAAAAAGTAAATGATATTAGGCTGATTTGAGGGGAGAACCCAAAGCTTAATCCACCTGTGAGTTTTCTGCCCTTTTCCTCCACTGTTTTCTGACTTTAGATTCAAAAGCCCAGAACTCTGTACAGTATAGAAATATAAGAGTTCTGAGAGAAGCCCTCTCACTCAGGAAAAGAAGCCCCTGAGGATCAGAGAGAGTAAGGCAATCCCAGGGGATCACTTACATCCCAGAGAGCACCAGGGTTAGTCCCATGATGTCTCAAATTCCTATTCACTTTACCCAACAACAAAAACATAAAACTTGCTCATCCATTATCATCAAACCCCCATTTCCACACTGTTCTTTTGTCCCCTGGGATTCCCTCATCATCCCACTCCACACTATTTTATACCTTCTATTTTATACATTTTATTTAACAATTCTTTCTATATGTTTTCCTTTACCAAAATCTGGTAAAGGAAAATCTACCCCAGTCCACAGTTTCTCTAGAAGTCCATTCTAGCCAAAGGATCAAAAAATTAATTCTATAGCTTACAAAAGATTCCTAAAGTCATCTAAAGCAGAATTTATTTCTGCTTCAGCATTCCTGCTTCTTTTTCAGAATAAGAGGTGCTTAAAATATTCAAATTTTAAGTTTGAAATTGAAGTGAGTTAATTAGTCCCAGCAGTCAGTGTTACTTACCAACTTAAGGTACTTAGTGCCCAGGCGAGTTATCACTAAGCTGGGAATTATAAAATCTTAATTTGAGAAGTACCAGCATTCATACTTCTGTGTTAAAGTCCATAGCTTATATGTTAAATCCAAAATCAGAAAAATTAATCTTTATTATGAGGAAATTTCAAGGGAAGAAACTTTCTCAGCCCTCCACCCCTACCCCACTCACTTTAAATCCTCTACTTTGAGCATTTTGAAATTCTAATCCATTAAATCCTCCTGACTCTCACCATCAAGTAGTTTTCTTTTGTCACAAATATTCTTGTATATTAGGATTTATTTTATGTTTTCATCAGTCAACTGAAAAGCTATTCCCTTCTCTTCTTGAGAAGGGTATATGCATGGTTGAAAACTTCTAATCAGGAAGTGGGGGTTTTCTGTTAAGGTATTGAATTATGTGAGCTCTTTAGTACCACCCAGACCCAACATCTGTGATTCTATGTTTTCTTGGTGCTGTGATTTTAAGATTCTAATCCATGGGTTGATGTGTTGCAAAGATACTCACAGGAAGCCTCACCCTTTTCTCTGGGGTCTTCTGCTGAGACTTCAGATATGGTTGACTGACACTTCCAAGCTAAGTGACAGCTCATTCTTAAAATTTATATATTCCATTTGTGGGTCTATGTGACTTACCTTATAAAGAGAAGGCAACCACAAACACAATGATTGTGACTCATAAGGTAGTTCCAGAGAGGAAGGAAGACATGAAAAGTGTCATGGGTAGATTTTTTGTTTGTTTGTTTAATAAAATGAGATATCCATTGGCCACTAGACTCAGTTGTCTTTGTGCAGAGCTATAAGTGTGGATAAAGTAGTCAGTATAAACTTTTAAGGAACCCATCTTAGAAAATACAATGGCAACTCTTTCTGGGACCCAAGGTTGTACGATCTTATAACTTTGCAGAAAAGAAGAGAACAGGGCAGGGGTTTTGGCTCAGTAGTAGAGTGCTCACCTAGTACATGTGAGGCCCTGGGTTAGATCCTCAGCACCACATAAAAATAAATAAATAAAATAAAGGTATTGTGTCCAACTACAACTAAAAAATAAATATTAAAAAAGAAAAGAAAAAGAGAACAACATAATTCTATCTTCTGGCTAATCATGTCTAGCCATTCACCAGTTCCAGAAGGAAACTGTTCATCTAGAAGAATTTGCCTTACCCAAGGGATTTTGTTGTGCTATGAAGTAAATAGAGGGTGAAAGAATGGGCTCCAAATACTTTCTAAGATCTCTCTAATCCCAAACTCATGTACCCATTTTGCCACATACTTTCCTCCTCCATCTTCCCATGTGCAATCTGACTGCTAATCTAACAGAAATGCATTGCAGGTGTACATTCTCCCTCATTTTCTCACCCAGACACACAGTCCCACATTATGGACATCCTCTTCTTAAAAATATTGCTGAGAAGCCATTATCATTTTTCACATCATCTTTTTCATGTGTATCCTGCTTACATTGTCATACCTGAGGACTTCCCAAACCCTCCAGCACTGTCTTTTTCCACCACACTCTGTGTATCATGGAGTCAGGATGTTTCTCAAGCAATTTCTGTGAAAGGAAAAATGAAAAGAGTCTTTGGGGATTCAGTGTTAGGGATTGGGGTCCCTAATGACATCATGGCTGGTGTCTGGGAAAGTTTCTGTGCAGAGGAAATGCCCTCCATGCTAGAGTCTTAATAGCTTCGACCTTAATCTTAGGCACATAACTCCTGGGAATAAAGGAATTTGCTTGCTTAATAACTACAATGTTTCACCAAGCTCTGGTGCTCCTGGATCTGCCTGCTTAACAGTAACTTTAGACAATGGACTTTCTTGAGAACTGCACAAAGCTCCTGATATTGCATATTGTAACTGTGAGATGTAACTGCAGAATAAGCAACCTTACTGATACTCTAAACAATAATGTAATTGTGGTACTAATGACCTAATGTAACCTATTGTTATAAATAAATGTAGCCACTTGGACAAAGAGCCACTCTGGCACCTTCCCTGTCTCTGTACCTTGTCTCTGTCTACTTATTATTATTATTTCTTTACAGCTGGTGACCAACTTTGGGGCATGAGAAGAGTTCTCTCTCCAAAAGTCCTCCTAGTCCACAGAGAGTTTGGGACAATACAATCCACCTTAATAAAGACCCTTCTGAACATTGACAGGTAAGGAGGGGTGTGTGGCTTACGTATACCTGGAACAGGCTTTTGATTTGGGTCTCTTATTTGCTGGTACCAATCCCTAATCAGTAGGTTATCTCTATCTCTATCTGTCGCTCAATGATGTCATCAGGCCGAGCTTTCTCTCCTACTTAGCAAGGCTGGACATGCTGTAAGTGACAATGGTCTTAGTGCCTTGCTAACAGAGATAAGCTCTTGTTGTCCTTTTTATCCAGAAAGTGGGATACTACATTTGAAAAGCTGGGAGAAAATAGGTGAAATACTATATAAGAAGCACAAAATTTTATTACTGAGCTTCAAACTTGGTTTCTTTGTAAAGATGCAGTTGATAAAACCTTTATTTTTCAACCTGCCTGCTCTTCTCCTTCTGTGCCTGCCTATGTGGCCCCTTTAAATTCCCCACTGCTATCCCCTCAGAGGTGGCACAGCCCTAACAAGAACACTGTGCTCAGAGCTGTCCCAGAGCCTCCCACACATGTGACTCCGCTAACTCACTACCATTGCCTCTGTGGCCCACTGTGCCAGCCGCATCGCCCCCAGCTAGACACCAGTTAAAAGAGTGTTTGGAACAAGCTGTGGAGGAGGGGTCGTCTCATAACTAACCTGTCTGTTCTATTAAGATAGATTCTCCTAAGCAACCAAAATATGGACAGTTACCTTTTGCTGTATTTAAAGAGTTATAACCTTTAAATGAAAGGAGAAATACAAGGTTTAACTCTACTGTCATTGAAACACATTTATCAGTTACTGTAAGTAGACTTAAATTAACTCTTTGTTTAAATGAGCAGTCAATTACAGGGTTATTGGACACAAACACTAATGTCATGGTGATAAATACTTTTATGGTATGGCTTTATGCATGGCCTCAAGAGGCCATCCTGGTCTGGGACAAAGAAAACAAAAATAAACAACTGTCCAAAAACTCCCTGTGGCTACTATGCTTGACCCTTTCCAATCCACAACAAATTATTACTTATATTCAACCATATGTGGAAACTGTTACAAGATTTGCAAGATTTAAAACAAAAAGAAATAAAAAAGAGCTCTCCACAAAGTATGTAAACTACAACATCATGCTTTAAGAGAATTAATTTATAATAGAAAAGAAAAAAATGATTACTATAGTCTTACTTACTTTTTAACTTCTGCCGAATCTCTAACTTTCCTAGCCTTATATTTAAAATGTAAATTACAGAACCTACCAGATTTACTAGGCTTATGAAAAACCCGTTAAGACAAAAGGAAAAAAGTGTCCCTTTTAAATCCAAACTGCTTGCTGACTGTCTTATCTGTGTTCAGCTGCCTTTCTTGACCAGTTTCTCCCTAATGTTCCAGCACAAAAAGACAAAAGTACAAACACTCTAAATGGACAAGCTTTCTTTTTGAAAAAAGTTCTTTCTTAAAAATACCACATGGTTCTCACTGGATCTTATCTTAGCTAAAAGTACACTCTGACCTGATTAAAAAAAAAGTTAATATTATGGTGATGTAAGTTTTTAAATATTCTATATAAGTTGATGTATTTTTTCTGATCAGTCTTGTTTTATCTAACTATAAAGGTTTTTACATTCTGTCTTTATCCAAAAACCAATTTCTCCAGAGTTAACTCTCAAATATATTCAAAAATTTCTTTTAATAAATCCTTAGGAGGATATAAGTATGGTTATGTTGGGAATGAGTCTGACAAGTATCAAAGACAAAAATGCCATCTAACCTGAAACTCTTGATTTCAGCGTCCATATACCTGTTAAGATTTCTATACCTGGCATTTCCAATTACTCAGGCCTGCCTTATATCTATATATCATGTACTTGATATCAAAATTGACATTTAGACAAATGAGCACTCACAAATAAAAATTTAAATAAAATAATGGATCCAAATAACAACTCAAATCAAGTAATCAAATAAAAATATAAATGTCTTTAAGATTTTTATTACAGATTCTCAATATATAACTAAACTTGTTCCTCATATTTTTATAGCTGTGTTATGCCCTTGTTTGGATTCTAATTTACTATTTTTTTAATGCTTCAAACTCTTTTACAACATCATACGTCTCCTATCTTTTTCATTCATATATACGGCCACACCAAAATTCCTGAACTTTTGACAGAAGGTAACGCTCACCCAGATAAAGCTATAAAATCCCTTTGTCCTTTATTTTCAGATATTATAAAATCCCATGGATATCTTCATCAAAATGCTCAATCACTAATAAAAAATGTTTTCCATCTCTTCTCAACAGGCTCATGCTATAGTCAACAACTGTTCTCACTGTACCTCTCCAGGCTCCTATGTGGAAGTCTGTAAATCCACAAGACCTACATTCTAACACACTTTGGCAAAGTGTATTAAAACAAAGATGTTACCCCATTTTCCTCCTTTTCATCCTTACTCCTTTCTTCTGTTTTTATTGATACTCATCTGGGTTCATTTGGGCTAGTGCCCAAAGGTCTGATAAGATATCTACTTACATTTCTCATTTATTGTTTTGTTTTACCACCATGGGAAAACTATTCCTTTAAAAATGGATAATGCCCCTGCATATACATCTCGTGCTTTTGCACAATTTTGTAATCAATAAAATATAATTTTAAATCATGAAATTCCTCATAATGTTACCGGATAAACCTTGGTTAAATGAGCACATTGTACACTTAAAACTTGCCTTTTAAAAAAAAAAAAAAAAAAAAAAAAAGATCTAGCCTCTCTTGTATAAATAATGCTTTAAATATTGTTTTATTTACAGTTTATGCATTCAATATACAATACAAAGTTAAGACACAGAATTGGTCATCTGCTTTGGATAGACATTTTATCTACCCAAACAGCCATTACCAAAAATTTATGTAATATATAGGGTTCCACCAGACCCACGATTACAAGGCCCTATCCCTCTGATCACATGGGGGAAAGGATAGACTGCTGTGTTTACACCAACAAGTTCAGTTTGGATTCCAGCTCAGTGTGTGAGACCTATCAATTATAAATGGATATCAGGGATTTCACAACCTGATCCCCAAGTTTTGTTTGATTCAGGAAAATCCCACTAAACAAAAGGACAATGATCACTCTCCTCGAAAAGGAAGATACACTGAAAGAGGATCCCAAGCTACCAGACTTCCAGTGACGTGGGGGATTACAAAATCATTAACAGCATCAGCTCAACGGCTGTTGGCTCAAATGGAATTAAAATGTACTCCAGAAAACTTAGTTACTGCTTTAATTGATAAATTCACACAAAACTTGGTAAATGCTTTGGTCTTAATAAGAATGTTGTTCTCTTGTTGTACCCCAGCCGTGGGAAATTCAGTACAGACTCCTTGACTTCTAAAACCCATTATAATATCTGGGTTCACTTGGCTAAAATTGCTATATACCTGCAAAAATGTCTCATGGTACACAAATTGTCTTAACAGACTAACTGTGTTCTCACCAACCCCACAGTATTTAATAGGTCACCATCCTGTGCAATGTATCCATAAAGGTCTATTCCCCTTGATAAAAACTGCGATAATTCAATAAACCTTCTCTCTAAAGCAAAGTTTAACATTTTCCTTAGTGAGTATCCCTGGACTAGCTGTCAGGGCTTCCAAAACAATTATAAAACTGTCCTGTGCTATGGTAAAAAAAATATTAATCATACCTGTATGGCAATTAATATGCCTAATGTAGAACAAGAACATCATCAAGCCATATTTGACAACTGAGTTGCAATTGATTTTTTTCTTATTATTACATCATAAAAGATGTCAGGAGTTTAATAATATATGTTACTTCATTTTAAGTGATAATAATAATTCTATCTCAAAGGAGTTTTACTCCTTTGAAGATATCATTATAAGGGTCCAACAAGATGATAGAGGTTTAGACTTATTAGATTGGCTAAATTCATGGTTACCAACTTTACTTGGGTTAATTATTTATAGGTAGATGTTTATTAATATTGGGATTATTACGTTGTGCTTGCTGTTGCCAATGTTTACCCTATTTTTTGCCCCCACCAACATTTAAAAAAAAAGAAAAGAAACATTATTTATCTGAAAGTCCTTAAAAAAACAAGAAAGGGGAGCTGTGGGGGTTCTATGTTTGGGATTGCAGTCCCTGATGACTTCATGGTAGTGGCACGCTTGGTGCCTGGGAAAGTTTCTCTGCAAAGGCATAGGATGCCTGGTTGCTATGGTAATTTCCTCCATGCTAGAGTCTTATCAAGTTCGACCTTAATCTTAGGCACATAATTCGTGGGAATAAAGGATCTTGTCTGCTTGATAACTACAATGTTTCACCAAGCTCTGGTACTCCTGGATCTGCCTGCTTAACAATAACTTCAACAATGAACCTTCTTGAAAACTGTGCAAAGCTCCTGACGTTGCATACTGTAACTGTGAAATCTAACTGCAGAATAAACAACCTTACTGATACTTTAGACAATAATTAGCTATGGTACTAATGACCTAATGTAACCTATTGGTAAATAAACGTGGCCACTTGGACAAAGAGCCAGTCTGCCACCTTCCCTGTCTCTGAACCTTGTCTCTGTCTACTTATTATTATTTCTTTACAAGGGCCAGGAACCTCCGACCTTGTCTCCTTGATTCTAGACCTTTTGGAACTGCATAGCCTTCCTTGGGAATTTCCACAGGTTTATTCTTTCTGTGGAGAATAACATTTATGGATTCTTCAGTGTGTAGATGTATACTCAAAATTTTATATACAGTCTATTCCATTATTTTTAGGAGTTATGTTCTATAAATCTGCCACCAATACTGTATTAGTAAATACTAAATCATTGCTGCTAGAGAATGCAGAATACAACAGTTACTATTATGGCATTATGTAAAAATGTGGATGTGTAACTGATGTGATTCTGCAATCTTTGTAATGTTTTGAATAACCAATAAAAATAAATAAATTAAAAAAAAAGAACTGGTAGACTACCAAAAAAAAAGAGAGAGAGAGAGAGAGAGAGAGAGAGAGAATGCAGGGTTGGGTGTATGAAAGCCTCAGCTCATAGCATTTTTCAGTAATTGCTCATTACATAAGCTTATTTTATATGTGTTTCTGGTTAAATATATTTTATTTAAAATGTAATTTTAATTCATTAACATAGAACTCACAGCGAATAGCACTGTAATTTATGAGTGAACAAAGCTTAGCTAACATGCATTTTCTCTGGAAGACATGTCACAGCTTTCTTGACCTTACATCTACAATAAAAGAACAATTCAGCACTGTGCTTGGGGCCCATTTTAAATCATGAAATAAACAATAAAAGTCTAACAATGTGAGAAATGTGGTAGTAAATATACCACAAAGAGGATATTTCTTTACAACAGAACTAAAATAAGAAGGAAGAATGTCACCTTCTTTGACCTCAGCTGGGAATGTGCAAATTGACTCCAATTTCTCCTTGTTTCTGAAAATGCATATGTTCTGTGAATGACTGGTAAAACTCTGCAAGTATTGATTTTGGAAGCACAAATAAATTTTAGTAAATAAACTTGCAAATACAGAATATTCAAATAATCAGAAAAGGCTGCAAATTTGTGAGTCTACATTTCTGAGGGGCATTAGTCTTTAGTTTGCAAGCATCCTTTGTATAATTTAATTCTTTTAATTTTGTTAAAATCTGTTTTATATCTTAGCATATTTTCTCTTCTGGAGAATATTCTATATGCATTTGAGAACATTTGTTTCTTGTGCTACAGCTGAGTGGAGTGTTCTAGAGATGTCATTAGTTTTAGTTGTTCAACAGTATTGCCCACGTCTCCTACATTGTCTAGCTATTCTATCCTTTATTGAATGTGGTGCATTGAAGTCTTAAATTATTATTATCTATTTCTCCTTTAAATTCAGTCAGTCTTTGTTTGATGTATTTTGAAGTCTATTGTAGATGCATATTTTTTATAATTATTATATCTTCCAAATATAAGTGACATTTCTATAGTGACAAATGTCTCTTTTCATAGCAAACAACTTCCTATGGACTTAAAGTCTATTTTTCTTGATTTTAATTTAGCTACTCCAGATATCTCATAGTTGCTGTTTTCATGGAATATCTTTTTCAACTCTCTAAATTTCAGACTGTGTGTCTGTTGCAAACTGTGGTTTGTTGGATTCTAGTTCTTTGGATTTTTTTTGTAAAAATGCATGCAGAATAAAAAGGCATATTTTCAAACTACTTATCTGACAAGTTATCAGTATTGAGAACATATGAAAAATTTTAAAATTCATAATCAAAAAAGTGATTAAAAAATGACAAGTGATATTAATAGACATTTGTCAAAAGAAGATAAATAAATGACCAAGAAGTATATGAAAATGTGCTCAACATCCCTAATCATCAGGAAAATCAAAATCAAAACCATGATGTCTCATTCTAAGTAGAATAGTTATCATTAAAAAGATGAAAAAAATGCTAACAAGGATTTATGGAGAGGAACATTCTCATATACTGTTGGCAGAAATATGATGTAATACAGTGCCTACTCTATTCAGTTTTCTTTCATTTTTACCCAGTATCCTTTTTTATTTCAGAATTCCATCCAAGATACCACATTACCTTTAGCCATTGTATCATCTTAGGTTCCTCTTGGTTGAGGCAATTTCTATGACTCTTCATGGTTTTATGACTGTGATACTTTTGAGAAGTAATGGTGAGGTATTTTGTGGAGTGCTTTCTTACTGAGATTTTTCCAAAGTTTTTTCTCATGTTTAGGCTGCAGTTATGTGTTTCTGGGAGGATAACCAACACACACAAAATTCCTTTTCACCGTATTTTATCAACAGTCCATGCTATCAACATTACTTACCAATATTATTGGTACTAATTACCTAAGGTAATGTTTGTCATGTTTTCCATTGCATAAATCACGCTTTCCCTTCTCTTTCCATATGAACCACTTTGGAAGTCACTGATATAGTACACACTTAAAGAAAGGAAATTATGTTCATTCTCCTTGAGGGCAAAGTACTTTACTGATTTTTAAACTATTCATTGTTTTTTCAGATTGTGCTAGGTTTTGAGAATATCTCTTTTCAGAATCTCCTTCAGATTAATAATAACTTCAGTGAGATATAAGAAGTTTATTCCATTCTTCTATCCTTTGTTCTATTCCTATCATACATGTCTACATGTTAGGTACCAAAAAATACAGTGTAATAATTGTTGCTTTATATAATCTTATGTCTTTAAGAAACCAAGAAAACACACACACACATACACACACACACACACACACAGCATGCATAATTTTAAACAACATTTTTCCCATTTCTAATACTTTTTATTTTTCCCATGATTTCAATTTACCATCTGATGTCACATCCTTTCTACCCCAAATATTCTTTACCTAGCCCACTTTTTGTACTCTTTTTGTATGTCATATTTTGCATATCTTTATATACTATAGACTCAGCATTCAACTTTTAAAAAGATATTTTAGGAGATATAATTTATGTACCATTAAATTCACCCATTTAAATTGTACAATCCAATGTTTCTATGTTTTCACAGATAAGTGCAACCATTGCCACAATTTTAGAATTTCTTATAACTTCAGGAATTCTATATCCTTTAACTAATGTTCTTCTATTTCCTCCTCCCCTTCTCTAGCCATCCTCAATCACTAACTTACTTCTTCTCCTTAGAACTGCCTATTCTGGACATTTCAAATAAACAAAATCATTTACTCTGTGGTCTTATATAACTGGTTTCTTTGACTCAGTGCATTTTCAAGATGCATTCATGTTGTATCCTGTGTTTTATTACTTTTTATGGATGAATATTCTATTATATAAATACACCACATTTTATTTATCCATCCATCAGATAATGAACATTTGGACTATTTCAGTCTTTTACCTATTGTAAATAATGGTGCTATGCGTGTTTAAGCACAAGTTTTTGTATGAATATATGTTTTATTTTTTCTGTAGTATATACATAGGAACACAATGGTTAGGTACAATGATAACTCTATGCTTAATCATTTGAGAAACTGATAGAGTATTTTCCAAAGTGATCACATCATTTTACATTCTCACCAGCTATGCATGTTGTCCACAGAAACCCCCTTATGTGTAAAGAGAGATTAAAAGAGAATCCCATCCCTCATGCCATTGCTGTCATTCACTTTATTCTTAGGCTATAATTAGTCAGCCAAAATATTGCTGTTATTGTTATTTTGAACAAACTTATTGGCTAGATCAATTAAAACTGAGAAAAAGAAAAGATTTTTATTTTGTGTTTATTTGTTCCTTCTGCAACACTCTTCCTTGCTTTTTGTAGATCTGAATTTCTGACCTACATTATTTTTCTTCTCTTGAAAGAACTTCTTTTAGCATTTCTTACAATACATATATATTGTTGATACATTCCCTTAATTTTTGCCTGAGAAAGTATTTCTCCTTCACTTTTGAAGAGTGTGTATCTTTATGCTGACACCACGATACAAATGTGGTTTTTCTAAACCACTTGTCCAATTTTTCAACATCACCAGGGGTGCAGCAATTCAATTCAATGCTGACACTCACTCCTAGAATTAAGAACCTATTCCCATGAGAACATCCACACTTCAGCAATTGGCCACCAATAGGCTACCCATATTTTTGTCTGGATAAATAAAAGTTCAGGAGTTGCCACAAATTTACCTGCTCCTCAGATTTGATAATTTGCTGGAATATCTTATAGAACTCAGGAAAACACTTTTCTTGTGTTTAAAAAGCTCCGACTCAGGAAGAGTTACGTGGAAGTGATAAATATGGCAAGAAATATGGGTGGGCAGGGGGTGCACAGAGCTTCCATGCCCCTCTGATGGTATTGCCCTCCCAGCACTCTGATGTGTACAGTCTTGAAAGACTTTTCAAGAGGACTTATAACCCAATTTGGGGGCTCCCTGCCCTCCCCCTGCAGAGTTCAGGAAGTAGAACTGAAAGTTGCCACCTTCTAGTCACATCTGTTTCTGGAAACAGACCAAGCCTCATCCTAAAGGTATCTGGTTCCCACACTGAGTCACCTCAGTAGTATAAACTCAAGTGTGGTGGCAAGCAATGCACTACAAATAACAAAAAGACTCTGAGATCACTCAGAAAATTACGAGCATTTTAGGAATGCTGTGCCAGGAATCAGGAAGAAAAAACAAATATATTTTTTTTTATTTTACCATAAAGGATAGTAAGATAGACACAGAATTCTAGGTTGGTGGGTTTTTCTTTTGCCCTTTGACAGTTTAAATATTTCATTCTACTCTCTTCCAGTTTGCATGGTTTCTAAAGAGAAGTCTGATGTAATTCTTTTTTTATTTTTTATTTGTTTTAATTAGTTATACTTGACAGTGGAATGCATTTATGCACTTTGATATATCATACCTAGATGGGATATAATTTCTTATTTTTCTGAGTGTACGTATTGCAGAATCACACTGGTCATGCAGTCACATATATACATACAGTAATAATGTCTGTTTCATTCCACTATCTTTTCCATCCTCATATCCCCTCCCCTCATATCACATCACTTCCCTCTAC